CAGTGAGCTGAGATCATGCCACTGCACTCCAGCCTGGGTGACGGAGTGAGACTCCGTCTCAAAAATAAAAATACAAATGCAGAATCCAAAACCAGTCTGGAGTAAACCAAAGTTTCTACTTCTCCCACCACATTTTACCTAATTGTTTTCTAACTCATTTGTGAATCATAATACGTAATTTTGATGGTTAATATTGAGTGTCAACTTGATTGGATTGAAGGATGCAAAGTGTTGATCCTGGGTGTGTCTGTGAGGGTGTTGCCACAGGAAATTAACATTTGAGTCAGTGGGTTGGAAGAGGCAAACCTACCCTCTTCACAGGTGAGCACCATCTAGTCAGCTGCCAGCACGTTAGGATAAAAACAGGCAGAGGAACCTTTAAGGACTAGACTGGCTAAGTCTTCCAGCCTTCATCTTTCTCCTGTGCTGGATGCTTCCTGCCCTCAAACACTGGACTCCTAGTTCTTCAGCTCTGGAACTCCGACTGGCCTCCTTGCTCCTCAGCTTGCAGACGGCCTATTGTGGGACTTCACCTTGTGATCGTGTCAGTCAATACTCCTCAATAAACACCCCCTTTATATATATAGCTATCCTATTAGTTCTGTTCCTCTAGAGAACCCTAATACAGTAATACATATTGACAAATTTTTATAAAATATAGAGCAGTGTTTCTCAGTTTTCATTATCACTCCCTCAGGAGTCTTTGTAGATATGTTCCCCCAATTGTTTTGCACTCCCCATCATGAAATTAAATATTAAGGAGTTGGCTGGGCGCGGTGGCTCACGGTTGTAACCCTAGCACTTTGGGAGGCCAAGGCGGGGGAATTGTCTGAGCTTAGGAGTTTGAGACCCACCTGGGCAAAATGGTGAAACCCCATCTCTACTAAAATGTAAAAGAAATTAGCTGGGTGTGGCAGCCAGCACCTGTAGTCCCAGCTACTCCGGAGGCTGAGGCAGGAGAATTGCTTGAACCTGGGAGGCAGAGGCTGCGGTGAGCGAAGCTTGAGCCGCCGCACTGCAGCCTGGGCGACAGAGCAAGACTCCGTCTCTTAAAAAATATATATACATATACACATCTATACATATATATACATATATACACATATACATATATATATATGAGAGTTAAAATTTTGTCAGGCAAGGTTGAGCTTTGGAGAGTCAAACTCTTGTAACAGCTAAGGTTTTTTTTTTTTTTTACCTTTTCCTCCCTCCCCTCTACCCAGAACAAATTTTCAGCTACTTGGGGACATGTAGAGCAGTTTTACTTACTAGAATGTTCCCTGTAGAAACTGTATCAATTTTTCAGTCTTTTAATCTCTGCAAGAATTTCCTAAAATGAAGTTTTGATGTACAAATGAGCTTTTTAAAAAGCCAAAACCCACAGAAGACTCCCCTTGCCCTCATCCTAACTCAACTGATAATAATTGTATACATTCAAGGGAAGATGCTAAAGAAAAAGGGAAAATAATAAAATAATGGGACATTAATCATGTTCAGGAGTAGATGACCAGAAAGCAAGCTATCAACAGAGCAAGAATAACAGATTATGAGGGTAAACCATGACTCTCTGACCAAATGAGTCAGCCTCCACTAGTCATGCAAGTCCTCAGGGGCTGCATATCTACCTTCTAATCTTTCCCATTGGTCCAGTTCTAGTCTTAATTTGTAAATTGGCCAGGAGTGGTGGCTCATGCCTATAATCCCAGCACTTTGGGGGCTGAGGCAGGAGGACTGCTTGAGCCCAGGAGTTGAAGACCAGCCTGGGCAACATGGTGAAACCCTGTCTCCAAAAAATACGAAAATCCGCAGGGCATGGTGGCATGTGCCTGTAGTCTCAGCTACTCAGAAGGCTGAGGTGGGATGATCTGATGAGCCCGGGAGTTCGAGGCTGCAGTGAGCCACAACTACACCACTGTACTCCAGCCTGGGTGACAGAACAAGACCTTGTCTAAAAAAAGAAAAAAATGTAAATTAATTTGATACTGATTTCTTAGTTTTTGTTTTATTGTATAGTTCCTATAGCTGCTTTAAATTTCTTGTGGAATCAAGAAAGACTTCATATGTGTGTATATACTATATAAATCAGTAGAAGCACTTTCACCTTTAGACACCAACAGGGAGCTATTAATGACTATTATCAAACATTAGTCAACAATCAACTGGGCGCAGCAGTTGCTCACACCTGTAATCCCAGCACTTTAGGAGGCTGAGGTGGGCAGCTCACTTGAGGTCAGGAGTTCAAGACCAGCCTGGCAAACATGGTGAAACTCCATCTCTACTAAAAATAC